GATGATTACTGGTTATATTCAGTGAGTAGGTAGTATTGATCATACAGAATGATACATTACCACTAATGTAATGAGTGATGTTAGTATATAATACTACAAGAGTGTCCCCCACTACTGGTGGATCATTGTAGCACAAGAACTGCTCCAGCTCATTCTCTTCAGTCACATTAATAACATGAAGATGAGCTCCTGAAAATAACAGAGAAGCAATAAGAAACAATAATAACAAGAAAGACATCATTGTGTGGAATTTAAAGTCACATTAAGCAGAGTCTATACTTTTACTTTTTTAGCCAGCTGTTTTTATAACTTTAATTTTTGATGGATTTGAAACAGAAATACATGTAAGTCATAGTTTACAAAATTTCTTAGCATTATCACAACAGTATAACTGTTACCAAATTTGCTGAGGGAAAAAAATTAATATTATTGCAATAATGGGTCAGATACAGTTGTATTGTAAGTTGTGCATATGCATAGCTATTGTAAGAAGATTAAATAACAAGTATCACTATGAGAAAAACTGCTTTTATCTTTATCAAAAACATTGAAAGTGCTAAGTCTTGGGAATAAAACTTTAACAAATGTAATCACTATCTACTGTACAAGGAGTGTATGCAGTATCTATGCATGTATCAAGCAACAAAAGGCACAACAAATGATAGTCTTAACAATAATGTGAGGAGATGAGGAGTTTGGCTACACAAGTGCATGTATAGCTACTTAATTAAAACTAATTTCAAAAATACACTGTAAGAGCTAGGAAATGTTACAATACATGCAGCACAACATCACACAAGTAAAAAATAATAATAATAATTAATTTGAGGAGAGGAGTGGTTCTCTCACTCTATCATAAGGTTCAAAAAATGATCCACTCATATCAACATGAGTTGCTTCTTCTAGATTCTGTCGTGATAGACAATGAGGCCAATACTTTCTAAACTCAAAATAGAAAGAAGTACTAAGAAAGATGATTGTGTATGGTAGACTAGTCGAAGATCATGGAGTATTCATGCTGTTTGTGAATATAACAATCTTATTTACAAACAAATATGAATGGCCTTGAAAGTGAATGTAATTATTATTAGAAGCATGAATAGAAACTGGAAATAACAAATGAAACAACATTCCTCATTTTCATTGTATTTACTGAGATAAATAGATTCCATTACCAATTTACCATACAGCTGGAAATATTTGCGAGGAATTAAATTAATTAATTTAATTTTGCGAGTTAGCAGCAAAAATAATGAAATTCATGCATGACCACAGTACATGATGCTACAAAATAGATATTGCAATACCTATGGCTACAATAACCGTCAAAACTGCAAATACTTAATCCACAACCCAAGTTATTTATAAGGATTCACAATTTTTTATCCACAAACATTTAACCAGCTGTTGCAAGAATGGTGTAAAATTCAGTACTTGAATAATACAGGGAAAATTGCATATTATTTTTTGTAACATGTAATAGTTGTGTATGCATGCAGGAACACTGAAAATAAAGTATAAAATTCACA